ATATAACACTGAATTATACATAGAACATAGAATTATAGAACACTGAAAATGATCAAAAAGGAATAAAAAGGAGTTAAATAAATATTATTTAATTATTTAAAATGCTTCTTTAAAAGACCTTGTCCTGTGGTGTGACATCTTTGTCCTGTGGTGTGACAGTATAGGCGTCACACCGGAGGACATTTTCTGTCACACCAAAGGACGTTTCTGCCTTTTTCTGTCAATTAATGACCTTGACCTTGCTAACCTGTCATTAGCGGTTTGCAAGACACATCTGCATCATTTTCAATGATTATGTAGTTTAACATACATTTTTTAATTAAAAAATATAATTTAGGGGTGTCACACCAAAGGACAACAAAACGTAACACTTTTGTATTGGTTCCAAATATTTGAACAATTCTGAGAGAAAAATTGACCATGTGCACGTGTCATGGGCTTGACAGGGGGCTTCAGTAACACGACCATGAATGGGGTCCTTCAGCTAATTAAAGTTTTCTCTGGAATTGGCCGATTTAAAGTCAGGATATGGTGTCACACCATAGGACATGGTTTTCAGAGACAAAATGCATTAAGTTCCTACACTTTCAGAAATATATAGATGAAAAAAATGATTGCCATTTACTAAAATAGACACTTGTACAATTATGCCGGGTGTGTTTATTAACATTTACTGAACCATGCTTGGGACAGTCACACCATAGGACAATTTTGACATTTGGCTCAAAAATAAATTTAAAAAATCGAATAACACTGCAGCTTTTTTAACAACAGTTCCATGTAGGACGAAGAAATGTTTAACGATTTACAGCATTTTAAATAACGACAATATTAATTATATTAATTTTTATCCTGTGGGACAGTGAAAATGCCATGTCACTTCAACTACCTATACTGTATATATATAGTATGATTTTGTAGTCATAGACCCACGCATGCTTTGTTTGTATTACCGTAAAAAGGACATTTCAGAGAAACAAATTATTATTGTTTAGCACGTTAAACATCTATAGAAATAGATTTATATAATATATTTGAGAACAGAGTATTAATAATAAACATGGTCTAAACATTCTTAGACTTGTAGCATCCATCATGCACTCATATTACTTTTATATCGTATTGTTTTATATTATATGGAGCATGAAAACTTCATCACGTGGTAAGAAATTTAGATACAATGAAGTGCCTGTCATATTCTAAATGTTTCACTAGATTTCAAAAAATTTAATCATGAATTATAGTTTGGGAAAAACCCAACTAGTAAATGTGTCCAAGTTTATGCCACAATAACAGGTAAACTAATCCAAAAAATAAACATTACTTACTCATTAGTATGGACTCCTCGGCTGGGTCAGGTTGCGCGTTGCATCTTGTTCCTTTTCTAAGGTAAATCCTGTGTTGTTCCTCTCAGCCTGTCTTTTTCCAGAAACGAACAGTAGCCGAGATGAACTGGATTAATTCTCCCGCTTTGTGCACGGAGCTGATGTGGGCGTTTACATGCAGCGAGTCTCGTGTGGACGATTGTTATAACAAAAGCGAAAGTAGCTCGTGGGCGTGGTCATATTAAAAATAACTAGATCAGACGGAGAAACTGGACATCGCGTTGGTTTCATACTGATTACTTTATCACAGAATATTTGTTTTCAACATGACTTACTTCATTTAAAAGTAGACACTTCAAACTTTCTATAGATATATTTATCATGTCCAGGGGCGGATTTAGTGAATTGGGGGCCCCGGGCCCCAGGCAAAATATAGGAATGGGGCCCTATACATTTGCACACATTTTCCTAGATCAAATTTGAGGTTCCTTTTTTGTTGTGATGCTTGCTGCTGCACAATGGTGCCCCATATAGTTGTGTCCAATGTTTCTACATTTTTCATGTACATGTTATAATGGCTTTCTTTCATGTTGT